CAATAGAACTTTTTCTCAATGCTGACATTCTTGTCAAACTAAGAATAAACTCTCTATGCAATGTTGATGTAAATTTTAAAATTTATACCTGAAACACCATGAAGACTAAATATCACAGGATATGACATCATGAAAATAAGTAGATTCATAAGTGTTTTTGAATAACATCAAATATAATAAATTCTTATGAATAATGGAAGACAAACTTAATAGTAAAAATAATGAATTGATTTTTGAATCATGTGATATGAATAAATTCTATTAAAATGTAAATCAGATAAAACACCAATATTTAATATGTTGTATAAACATAAATTATCATTATACTTTATAATACTATAATTATAAACTTAGCTGATGAAATACTTAAAGTTAAATAAGTCCACTCCATTACTACATTTGCAGAGTAAACACTTCATTTTCTCAAATTTGGAACAAGGAGCACATAAAACCTACCTCTATTCTTAAATGCCAAAACATGTGCACTCAACAAAGATGTGATTGGATTAAAAAATAACATCAGCATTAGCATTTTGGAGAGTAATGTCTGAGTGGCTACAACATAATTATCATTTGATGGGGTAATAAATGTATACTGGTATACGCATCATCTTTCCATCATTATTAGTTAAATGATGCTCATTACAGTAACCCTAAATGACATTTCCCCTTTTATTGACCTTTCACCTGTATATCAGTTATTCAAATGGCTCCTTCATAGCATTTAGCCAGCTCCCTCCATCCAACCTTACCATCCATTTCACCTTCCACCTGTTTTATTCCAGCTATGCATTTTTACTCATGAGCACTTATCTTGCAGTTAGATCTTCTTTTTGTTTTTAAAAAAACCTTCCAATAGATCAGCCCCACTTTCACTCTGGTTGTTATTTCCATTTGGTTCTTATCTTCACTGTACAGCCACCTCTTCCAAAACACACCTCTTGGATATATCCTTTGTGAGAGACCCAATCTCTGCCAGGCTCTCCTTATTCACTCCAGATAACTCCCAGCACCTTATGTTTGCTTTATGCGGGTGTATCAGGATTCCTTACACACACTTTCTCTGCCCTGATCACTGAAGCTCTCTGGTTCCACATCTTCTTGCCCTCAGTACAGAGGGATCACACTCGTGTAGGAAGGGTACATTTTTTTCAGAAACTCTGAAGGTTGGGAGTTTAGGAAAGTCAGATAGTTAGGCTAGTCCTCAGTGTCACGGTAACAAGCTTGCTGGCCTATGGCCATCTATGGTCCGAGGATTATTTATATCAAGCCAGTATTTGCTACCAAAGTTCAGTAACTTACACGTTCTAATCACATAAAAGCCTTTAGAAAACTAAATGCTTAGTGTAGTATATTGCACGGACTACAAATATTTTGTAGCTCCTTCCATTAGCAAGTAGGATTTATGATTCCACACCTTGAATCTGGGCTGGCCTGGTGATTTCTTTGACCAATGGAATAGGATGAACGTGATACTACTGAAGTTGAGACTAAACCTTAAAAGGTCTTGCATCTTCCACTCCAGCTTCATGTAATGCCACTGTCACATGAATAACCTGAGCTAGTCACCTTGAGGACTACACACCAGGTTGTCAGCCAGTCCAACTGAGGCCCCAGACATGTATGTGAGCCCAGCTAACACCATGTGGAAGAGGGATAAATTGGCCAAGCTAAGACCAGCCTAGACTGCCAATCCACAGAACCAAATAGCCAAAAACAATATTGGAAACAAACTGAAGGTCTAAAATAGGGTCTTATTTACATGAATTACATTATTGAGAAGCTATGTATCTCTACCCTTTATTAGCGTGTAACTCTCTAGAGTAGAAACTATAGCCTTACTAGAGCTCAGTATATGAAAATTCATGCACTGGAGGGGGGTCCCTTAGCGCAGCCTGCCCCCTCTCACAGTCTGGGAGCCCTCAGGGGTGGGAGGCGAGCCAGCGATCAGAGGAAGGTGATGCCCCATCACAATTCTGCTGCTACCACTGCTGGCAGCGCAAGCCTCAGCCGGCCCTGGTTACCTGAGCCTTGGGCGGCCCTGGGAGGCTAAGGGGCCGAGAGGACTGGGCACTGCCATCTTGTGGCTGTGGGTGCCACCATCTTTGAGGGTGTGGCAACCAATTAGCATATTCTTTCCTTATTGATTGTAAGCACTGCCATCTTTGCAATGTTGTGCGGGTCACTTAGCATATTCCCACTTTATTAGATAGGATAGAATTGATCTGGGGATGCAATAAAATTCTTAAATCAGTGCCTACCTCATCACAAATATCCAAACTATTACCCTATCTAATAAAGAGTGAATATGCTAATTGACCCTCATGCTGTCACAAAGATAGTAGCATCCACAACCAATAAGGGATATGCTAATTGACTGCCCCACTCTCAAAGATGGCCATATCCACAGCCAATAAGGAGGGAATATGCTAATTGACTACCCCACCCTCAAAGATGGTGGCAACCACAGCCACAAGATGGAGGTGCCAAGGCCCCTCAACCCCCTAGCCATCCAGGGCCAACCCAGGGCACAGGCAAGCCTTGGATGGTGGCTGCTCAGCTGCCCAGGGCTGCGCTAGGCTCAGGTAACCAGGGCTGGCAGTTGCAGCAGCAGAGAGGTGATGGGGGGGGTCGCCTTCCCCTGATCGTTAGGTTGTCTTCCACCCTGAGGGTTCCTGGATTGTTAGAGGGGGCAGGCCAGGCTGAGGGAAACCCCCTCTAGTGCATGAATTTGCATGCACCGGGCCTCTAGTTATTTATACATAGCTATTAAAATCATGTTATAGAAAATTTAATAGCATAGGAAAGGTCCATGATATTGTCAGCTGAAGAAATACTACAAAGTTACATTTATAATTAGGAACCTTCATTTACCAAAATGCTACTCTATATGTAGATCTAGGAATAGAACAGCATTATCCTCCCAGCAGTGGTCTCTGGGTAGTAGGAATATCTCTATATTTTCATTGTTTTTCTATAGTTTCAACATTTTCTAAAACAAAAATGTATTGGCTCTATAATTGAAAAAAATGTTATTTCTAAAAAATTAAATGTTGTATCTATAGACCAGCTAATTAATATCTTTCAGATCCTTAAAAGCATTACGAAAACTTTTGTGAAACAGTTACAGGCTTTGCACCTCATATTACGCTATCACTGCTCTTTCTGTTTTAGCCAAGTAGAGAGTCAGAAATAATACCCATGAATCCCCAAAATCTAAATACTAGAGAAAAGAAATTAAGGCTATCCCTTTGATTGGTTCTAAAATGCCCCCGGATGTCACTCATCTTTTGTACTTAGGCTACTGTCTCCCATCCTGACCCTGTTGATCGTCACTAAACCAACACCTATGTGTCTCAGTTTAAATGTCACTTCCTCAGAGAGGCCTTCCAGGTTGCCCTAGTTATAATTTGGCTTTCCAAATCTAACTTGGGTTCCCCCATATAATAGCCAGTAATTCACCCATATTACTACTTATAACTGAGCTTTCTTTTTGCCATTTACATACTTTGTGACTGCAAAGGAAAAAACCAATTGAGACAGTTAACTTCAAGTTAAAGCCTCCCCTTTTACCTTTAACAATATAAGAAAGTGAAAAGTGAGGGTCTGTATGCATATGCCCAAAATGCTTTCTATTCATTTAACCTTCTTAAATGCTAAAAGTGAACCGTCACCAGCTCCAACATACATATCCATAAAAAGCATTTAGAGAATAGTTTTAAAGTATAGTAAACATCTATAATATAAATTGATAAACTCATAAGTTTGAGGGAAAATAGTTTATAATTTATTTCTATATTTTAGCCAACAGCATAATTTGCTGTTTTTGCTTTTCTAGAGTACATGAAATTTCTCATAGGGATTATTTAGAAGAAATACTTGCCTGTATTTACATAATCTATTTAAGAGTATACCAAGCAAGTTATAGGGTTACTTTTTACATCTTAATCATGCATTACTGGTATTTTGGCTACCCAAGATGAAGCCCAATATATCTACTACTGAAAAATAATGTACATTAATATTGTTTTTCCCCCAAATTGTATTGAGAATGAAATAATTATCCATTATGCCCATGTGGTGTTACATAATATGAAACAACTAATATTTATATACTCTAACTATAAAAATGTTTAGTATTTTTTTTTTTATTCACCTGGCAGTGGATGTCAAGTTCCTACTTAGAGTAAACATTTCTATATAAAGTAACAGTATTTCCCCCCCCCAAAACCCACTTATAACCTTAAAAATCAGCTTACTCCTAAAGTGAAAAGAAGAAGACTCCTTAGCCATTGAAGAAACCCACCCAAAGACATTGTCTGTAAACATTGGTTTAGAGACACCTAGGAACACTTAGGCCCAATCAATGTCTCCAGCAAACATAATCAAACGTAAAAGTCTAATAAACTGTCTGATAAATCAGGTTCTCAAGAAGTAAGAGGAGGATCATTTATGTGTAGATTCCGGAAAGAGGAACCCAAAGCATACAATCTCTAAGCCCCGTGAAATAAATGATCTTTTACTGTGTTTATGTCGCTTACCCGTCAGTTCCAAAATGAGTGAGCAGTAAACCTGCAGATGTTTAGTGGTGTCATAACAATGTGTCTCAAGGAGACTCCATTTAGCATCCACTGCTCACTGGAATGCTGAGAGTGGCAGAGGAAACATAGCAGCCAAAGACAACATATGCACAAGCTACTCAGGTTGCAGAGGAAAGGAGTTTCAATATCACAGATCCAGGCACAATATGCTTAGAGCACATGCTGAAGAAAAGCAAAAGCTATAGAAAATAAGATCTGCAGTTCAACAAATAGGTAAGCCAAATGTAGGACCAAGCTACAAGTAGGAGGACTGGGCCAAATTCCATCTGCAGAAGTATTTGGCTTGTACACAGTTTGAGAATAATAATAATAATAATAATTAATAATAATAATGGCAAATTAGTTGAAAATATTTAAATTTTAAAAATTTTACATGAAAACTTGCATTTCCTGCTTTACCTGATAAACTGGACAAAGCGGCATCACTAGGTTAACGTTCCTGCCTTGCAACAATTATCTGGACCAGAGCAGCGGCTGCTCCTTTAGAAAGAAGTTGGCTCTCCAGGTCACTGCTGTGGCTTCCTGCTTCATTCCCACCAGACTGGCCTCTGTAGGCACTTGGGTTTCCAATCTCTGGAACAGAAAAGACCTTGAGGTAAGGCTTGAAAGACTCACTTTAGCCCTTGACAAGAGGTATAACTTATTATTATTATTTAACTTATTATTATTTTTTTAAGTGTCCACTTAACCTTCATGTCATAGTTTCTTCACAAGGGTAAGGATGAACTAATGGGTCATCAGGCATTACTAGTAGAGTTGGAGAAAGCTGGCTAAAACCACAAGCACTTTAACTTTCTTAATGAAACCGAGTTGGCCATGGGACAGTGATGATTCTTGAATTAGAGGAAGTAGAGGGGACAGAAAACTGTTGTCCAACTTCAATCTTCTACTTTTCCTTCTTTCTTAGCACCATTATCAGCAATACTACATTATCATTAACTTAGGAACTCATATTGGGATCAAAGAATTAAGGAACCAAATTGCTCATCACCATTATTAAGAGTTAGAAAATGTCTCTGCTTTATTTCTGACTTTTAAAATTATTTTCTTTTAGCAAATAAAAAGTTGGTAAGGGCTTTCAAAAGTGTGCTTGAGACCTTGCTACCTCTTATCCTATTCTCTCTGGTCAGCCATCAGGGTGACGCTGACAAGCTCCTCCTCAGTCTGGGTAAAATAATCCTTGGGACAGTCTAACCCATCTTGTTCTGTTTCTAAGGTCATTGAACAACCTTTTGAATATTTGTTGGATTTCCTAGATGCTTTGATATCATTAAGTTAGTGACTTGGATACCATGAATATGTATTTCACTCAGTGAAGACAAACAAACAAACAAACAAACAAACAGGTCATCTGGCTTGTAAATTAATTTCTCATAAATATCGATGGTATAGCAGATGGTCTGTGTCAGACCCTAGAGCCCCATCCCACTTGAGAGCAAAGGCAAAAGCAATTTTTTAAATTGGAAGACTAAGTACCACATCCTGGACCATTGTTACTCCACAGGGTGCTCCTCTACTTTTGAGGTCTTTCCTGATAACCAGCCCGCTTTCTATTTTTTATCTTAGGCCAAAGGAGGACGGGAATGTGGAGGACACGGTGCAGCAGCATGCGTGAGAACTGTCGTTCTCCAGGAGAGACAAAGTAGCAACTAAGGGATATGGGGCCACGGCTAGATAACTATAATATGTTTCTATAATCCTGCTGTACTAAAGGCACTTCAGGCATTATAGTTAATGTTTTAAGTATTTATTGAACAACTATATGTGAGGCCCTGAATGGTAAGTAGGGACCCAGACATAAAGAGAACACAGTCCCATCTTAAAGAACTTACTGCCTGGGAGGTGCAGGGTGGGCAGTCAGGTGAACAGGTCATCACAACATTAAATGATGCTCACTATAATAGGGGCTAAGTATGGAGTGCTAAATGAGCACAAAAAAGAGCTAGCCTGGATTCTGGGGATCAGATAAAGGGGGGCAGGTGAGGGGGACAGCATAGATGTTAAGGATGCACAGAGGTTAGAAAGGAAACGAAAGGTAAGAGACCGAAACCTTTACCTAATCCATGCAAACCGGTTTTAACTCCAAAACATTAATGTTGAAGACTTTACATTCTGTCTGGTAAGAACAACTCCAATATTATACTCATTTTTAGCTGGTGAGCAAGCATAAAGGTCTCATTTTTGTCAGAACTTCTAACCTTGAGATGTGATAAGTCATGAAGCATTAATGAGTATTTTCCACAGACAGATCTGGATGTGGGCCTAATGCCTGAAATAGGATGATGGCCTGACATCTAGATAATCAAATATTGTTTTCTAGAACGTTATGAAAAACAATGATTCATTTCAATAACAAATATTAGAAGTAAATGCATTGGAAGCAGAAGCTAAAAGGAGCAAGATATGGATGAGTATCTTAGCCTGTAGAGTAGTTCATAATTGTTTGGAGGTATGTCCCTTAATAAAAGAGATCCATAAGTGATGAAAATAAGATGATTATTGTGTTAACGTTGTTTTAGCCAAGTATGTGAATAATAGTAGCTGGCATTTATCTTACCATCTTCTGGAAACTATGCTGAATACTTTATACAGTCATTGACTCATTTAATCCCTGTTGCCTAGATTAGGGATTTATTGTAGAAGCACTATTATTTGTTTTCTTTTCTAGAGTTAAGGAAACTGAGGCAAAAGAAAATAAGTAGACTGGCCATCTCTTTTCCTCTCTGATAATTTATATAGCCCTTTTCTGCTTTATTATTTCCCCTTCGTATGTATCACTAACATATTACATGTTTTACTGTTTATTACTGCCTGTCTCTTCTGACAAAAATGTAAACTCTGTGAGTACATGGATTTCTTAGTCAACAGACAAAAGCCTTCTATATTTTGTTTTGTATCACAAGTTTTTATTTCTAATAGCACAAAGTACAGAGCCTTACACATGCTGCAGCCAAATATATTTGTGAGTGAATGAAGGAACATGTAGCGAGCAAGCAAACCCTGAGCCCTGGCCATGCTCGGCACTGCACACATCACCATGAGGCTGGGAAGGTCAAATATATCAGTGTTCTCAAAGACCTTAACAGTTAGGGGCAGAAATAGGTAGAAGCACAAGGAAAACCTAGGGTACAGAATAAGAAGTTCGGACATTTCCTTACTTCCATTCTTCAATCGGCTAATGGTGTAAACGTTCACTCATCACTACTCCTAAGACACCCTAGTTAGTAACTTGCTGTGTTAAACTTTCTTGGAAATGCCAGAACCACTCACGCCTCGGTGCCTATGCATGTGTTGTTTCCTGGGCTTTGAAAGAATTCCTCCCACTTTCTTAAAGCAGCTTACTGGTCCTTAACTAATCCTCAGGGCCAGCTTCTTAGTGAAGCCCCTCTAGCCCCCTGCTTAGAGCTGCTTGTTCATTCCTCTCTCATTCTACAGTGCTGTTTACATAAAGGTAACAGCACCTACCACACACATTCCTTATTTCATATATCTTTGTGCTTGTGGTTGCCAAACACATTAACAGGCTCATGGTATGCAGATGCTTTGAGTTGAACTATTTGTTTTTCTCACCTTTCAAAATACTAAAGAACGTCCTCAACTTCCCTAAAACATAACCATAAATAGAAAAGCTCTTGTTAGTAATATATTAAAACCACCCAGTGATACATGTATGCATTCAATCAAAATTAAATAGAATCAAATTTCTTATTTTATTTTCAGCACAATTTCTTGTTGAATAAATAAATGATGTATACAAACCATGTCATTAAATGCTAAACGGAATGACATAAACTAAGTATACCAGAGGAACTCAGAGATGAGGTAACGATAATAGAGAACAGTGAACTAAGTATTAGGAAGTTTGGCAACTGCAGTTTTCTGGCTGTATAACTTTGAGCAAGAAAGATAAACTGACCTTTAATATTTCAATCTGTAGAACTAATGGATTGGGACAGATCAGTGGTTTTCATATTATTTAACTGTAGATCTCTTGTCTAATAAGCTCGAAATAGAATCTCCATTATATACAACAACAACAACAAAATAGATTTGTTAGTAATAACTGATTTTATAATACCAAGTTATAGTGCTATTTATGAAAATAACAAGTGATTGACTAATAAAAATATGAAATCAAAGGACATGGGTAATAGCTGCAATTTTAAATCATCATCAACAAATTTCTATACTTTGTTTCGGCTTTATACTATTGAGACAATTCTCAATATTAAAAAAGCTATTGAAAATGGCAACTTTTAAAAATAGCTAATTTGATTTGGGCAATATTAAGATCTTTGCTATTAAAATAGTCCAGAAGCTTGAAGGAAGAATAAAAAAAAAAAAAATCATGTTTCCATATTGAGTGATTATATCTAATTGTTTCTCAGATTTCTGGTCATAAATATAAAATTTTATTTTATATGAGCAAGAACTAACTGAAACTGAAATTAAGCAAGAAAACTTTCTCTAATATAAATGTATCACATTAACTTGCCATTGCAAGACTGGGAAGGAGGGATACGGGTGTGTGCAGGATGCTGCTCCTGCATCTTGTTTGTTTATTCATCGGAGCACACACAAGCTGCAGCCGGGTTCTGGCTTGTGTAATTTGATTTGGATATATAATAATGGACTCGAGTTTTTGTTGTTGTTGTTAATCTTCAGCTGGGGTATTTTTCCATTGATTTGTAGAGAGAGTGGAGGGAGGGGGAGAGACACACAGAGAGAGAAACATTGATGTGAGAGCGACATCGACTGGTTGCCTCCCACAGGAGCCCCAACCAGGGCCAGGGATCAAGCCTGCAACTGAAGTATGTGCCCTTGACCGGAACTGAACCCTGAACCCTTCAGTCTGCAGGATGACGGTCTATCTACTGAATCAAACTGGCTAGGACAATGGACTCAAGTTTTTTAAAAGCCCAGCTAAAAACATAAATATAAAAAATGTATACTCATAAAATGTTCAAATATCTCCATAAAAATCGGTAGCAAAGCTTTAGACAGCAGTCCATAAAAATACAAACTAACAGCAAAGTTTACTTTTGCTTCATGGTATATTAATATGTTATAAAACATTAGAGTGTGCATGTTATTTTTACTAGAGTGTTAAAATACTTAATATATTTTTAAATTTTAAATTTGTGTCCAATGTTTGGAAAACTCTGAAGAAACTCCTCTGAGATGGATGTTCTTCTGGTCCTTTTGATTCTATCATTTTTACATAACTAGAAAAGCAGATGACTTCAATGTTTTTCAACTCAATCATAAATATAGTTATTGAGATAAGACGCAGTGGGACAGAGAAGAGTCTGATCAGATTGAAGTGGAGAACCACGAATAGAGTTTAAAAAACACGTCAATCTTCCTAGCATAGGATGAATGTCTTATGCAAATAAGCTAAAACAGCTTTGGTATCGTGGATCCATGACATTTTTAACATAAGCATTGCTGGTCACAGGTATCTTAACTTATAAATGCAATTTCCCTCCAATGTAGTTATTTTTTCAAAATGATATCTGCCAGATACAAAGCAACTTTTCAGTGATTTTGCCTTTATTTACTCAAAGAATGTG